AAATCTCTTGGCCTAAAATCACAATCCTACCATTCCTACCTTTAATAAAATACTGCACAAATATAAAAGAGTATTATAATAGGGATGTATTCTGTCACCCAAAGCCAAGGAGAAATGAAGGCCAGGCTGGGCAAGGACTCTGCGGGGCAGTAACTACACATGTAGAGACCTGGGGAGACGAGGAGGCCTATTGGGATGAAGAAGGGAGATGCCACTGTGATCCTTAGATCCTTAGTCCTCTTCCCAGGGACTCAGAAGGTGAAGGCTGATGAGCCTAGCCTGACAGCTCATCAAGCCCTGGACCCCCAGGTGGGGACAGTCACAGCCATGCTTGGTTGCCTCTTTTCAGAGCCCAGTAAAGGAGCTTGTTTCTTTCCCCCAACACAGTATCTCCAAGGCGGTTAGCTTTAAGACTTCTGCCCTGTGGTCACTCCCCATTTCCTTCCAAACTTCTTTCTTCTCCCATCTTAAATCTCTCTCTCTTTTTTTTTTTTTTTTTGGAGAGGTTTTTTGCTATAGGACGCGTGCGCTCGCCAGACAGAGAGAGACATAGAGACAGAAAGCGAGAAATCACCCCCCAGGGGGGATGGTCATGCCACAATCCCTTCTCCTCCATTCTCCATTCTCCTCTCGGGATCTTGGGCACTCACACACACGTGCCTGGAGTGAGTTTTAAGCCACCGGGTCCAGGATGCAAACCGCGGTCGACTACATGGGAGTCCAACGACATAGCCATTACACTAACTGCTGGTTCTCCCATTTTAAATCTCTTAAGCTCTCAAATGAAATGCAAAACCCAATGGTGTGGCCTCCTCTCCTCTAGTAGCACTTCCAGGATGGGCCCCTTCCCGCTAAGCTGACCTTTGCCTCCTTCCTCCCTGCAGGCTGGTCTGCCTGCTGGAAATGCTTTTCCAAATTCTTCCTGGAATGTGTGCAAATGGCCTGTGTAGGCAGCCGCGGCCGGTGGACGCTGCCCGAGCTGCCGGGGGCCCAGGGAGCTGGGCTCAGTTTGGGGAAGTGAGCACCACCATGGCCGCCCTGGAGCACCCTGCCAGGTATCGGTTCCCACAGGCTCCAAGTCTAGGAGGCGCCCGAGTGGTCAGGGGCCTGCAACCAGGGGAGGCCTGCCCAACCTTCCCGGGGCAGCCTTACCTTTCTCAGGGAAGCCCCACACGTACATGAGTTAATCTACCGAGATTCTGAATGTCTTCCTCATGCCGGTCAGAAGTCAAATGATATGGAACTATAATTCATACCCTCCTGACTGCCTTCGACAGCCATGACCAGAGGCAGCTGCTTCTGAGGGGGTCACAGATGAGATAATAACAGCTAGAAGGGACTGAACATGGGGCTGAGAGTGTCTTCCTAGCCTGGCCCCCTGTACCAGAAAGCAGGAGGAAGCCTTGTACCAGGAAACAGTTACTGAGAGGGGTAGTGAAATCAGGGTAGACTCATTCATAAAATCAGCAACTGGGTAGAATTCAACAGAGCAGGTGGACATTAAGCCCCGAATTCAGTTACTGGACAAACCCACTAACCTCTCAGGGCACAGTGAGGTCCGGGGGCCGAAAACTACTGATCAGCCCAACAGGAGTGCACCCAGTCCTCCTCTCCTGGGAGGTCGTCTCTCTCAGGGAGGCTTAGGCACAGTCTTAATAAGTGTGTGTCTTTTCTAATCTTTTAAGTCTTTAGGACTCCATAGCTGGGCACCCTGAGAGCAATGACACAGTGCAGAAGTCAAGGAGGCGATAGAAACTGTGAAGAGACAGAACTAAACAAGGAGGGCAGCCCCATAAACAGGTGATAGAAATACCAGTGTGACAACTGATGTTCCCGATGGTGCACTGAGCTCACAGGAAGAGAGCACGGAGCTACTGCTGCCCACACGCCTGCTGGGAGAAACAGGAACATCTCAAGAGCATCCATAATTCAACGCCTGGGGTTCTACAACCAGGGAGAAGCTGGCCATTTCCCCAGCAGTCAAAGAAATGCCAATTCAAATGACAACAAAGCATCAATTTATAACTATAAACATCAATAAATAATGAAACATGTTCTAAAACAAATGACTCAGGCCCGGCAAGACTACAGTCTAATATGATGTTCCTATGCTGCAGATGGTATTGGTTAACCAACACCAGCTTTGAAAGAGCGTGTATCAGCCAGCCCTGGTGGTGTGATGGTAATGCAGCACTCTGAAATGCTGAGCCTCATAGGAAGGTTCTAGGCTCACATCCTGAGGCCTCCCTGTACATGCTGGGAGTATGCATATCCATGATCTTGGTGGCATGAAACACCACTCTGTTGGGGGGTGCCTGTCTCTCTCTCTCATGGAAGGACAAATAAACAAACTTTATAAATAAAAATACAGAAAATGAAGATATCAAGAGTCTTAAAAATGCCAGCCTTTGACCTAGTTATCCCACTCCTGGGGGTAAGAATGAGTTCAAAAGAAAATGGGAAAATCATGGGAAGAAAGTTATTTGATCAGTAACTTCATAATGGTTAAAATCTGCGAAATAAAAAACAAATGTCCAGGCTGGCAGATGGTGTGATGTTTAAAAGTGCTGGACTCCCTCATGGTCAACTGCAGTTCGAGTCCCAGACCTGGCGACTTGCTTTCTCACTTTCTCTCTCTTTCTCTCTTTCTTGCTCTCACTTTCTCACTCTGCCCATCTCTAGTCAAATTTAAATAAATAAATAAATAAATAAATAAAGTTTAAAAAATTTCTCAGAAAAACACAAATGTCCAATAATAGGGAAATACCAATATGAAAGTTAATGAAACATGATACAGTCAGGTAAAGGAGAAAAGGTTATTTATGGAAGTGTGTTAACTGGCGGTTGCGGGGGAGTAGAGCAGGAAATTACAGAAGTACAAACAGAAGAAGATGGAGAGGAACCCCATGGAGAAACCTAAGTAGCTGTGTTTGGGTTGCAGGATTATGAACGTGATTTCTTTCTAATTCCTGGGCAACTTTTTTTTTTCATAACAGATTTTTCAATCAGTAGTCTGGTCTTCCTAGCAAGGTGGGCTTGACACACTGATGGGGATCAAGACACCAACTGCTGACGCTTAGCCTTGGGCATGCCAGCTACATGACTGGCCACACTGGGGGACTCCTACGGGCTTCTGTCTGGGTCAGGCAGATGCACTAACTAATAATGCAACAGGCTGGGAGGTCCATGGGAGAAACACGAGGGCAGTGGGGGGAGAGAAGGGCAGAGCATGAACAAGTGTTTGCATTTAGTCTTTGCACTGAAATGCATAACTTAAGAATCAAATGTGGGGGCCCGGCAGGTGGTATGGTTTTAAGGTGCTGGACTCTCACATGTCTGACCATGGCTTGAATCCTAGACCAGGCAGCTTGCTTTCTCCCTCTCACTCTCTCTCTCTCTCTCTCTCTCTCTCTCTCTGGTGAGTGAACATGCCCTAAAGTAAATTTTTAAAAAATAATAATAATGGGACCAGCAGATGACGTAATGGTTACATCAGTGGACTCCCATGTAGTTGACCACAACTGAAGCCCCAGACCTGGCGGCTTAAAACTCGTGCTAGGCATGCGCGCGTGTGTGTGTGTGCCCAAGATCCCGAGAGGAGACTGGGGAAGGGATTGTGACATGGCCATCCCACCCAGGGGGGATTTCTCACTTTCTGTCTCTCTGGTGAGCACATGTGCCCTATAGCAAAAAAAATCTCTCTAAAAATAATAATAAAACTACAATTAAATAATTCTTCTAAAAAAATAAAATGCAAGAGTATGCAAATATCTATCTGTTACCTATTCTCACATTAGAGAGAACTCAAATGCCAGGGGTCTGTCCAGTCCATAGGCAGTTAAGGATGTCTGCCAGAGCCCTACCTGCTCATTCCATAGAGATGCTTCCAGGAGAATACCAGGGTGGCCATCCAATCCTAGAGCCCTGGTGTCACCTACCCAGATTCCACCAAGCCCTGTGATATCTTTCCCAGTGAGGCAGTGTCAGGCCATCCTGCTCATACTCAGAGCTGTCTGTGCAAGCAGGACAGCTATGGACTCAGGTGCTGGCACCACTACCTGGCTGTGGCCCCTGTGAGTGACCTGGCCTCTCAGTGTTCTCAGTTGTAAAATGGGGACAATAAACATCTTTGTGTGACAGCATTGTTATGGGGACTAAACGAGGGAACAGGAGTATGAGGCACAGCGACTAGAACAGAACCTCTCTGGGGGCAGTGGCGTGCTGATTAAGGCTGGATTCCACATGGCTGACTGTGCAGTTTGAGTCTCAGACCCAGTGGCTTGAAAAGCATACCAGGTGCATGTGTGTGTTTGCCTCAAATCCTAAGAGAATGGAGAAGAAGGGACTGTGGCATGGCCATCCCCCATGGGAAGAGGGTCCCTCTCTGTCTCTGTTTCTCTCCTGCAAGCACACACACCCTTGGGCAAAAATATTTTTAAAGAAAAAAAAATTCTATGTGAGCAATAAATCACCATCATAGTCACTGCAAGGGTTGAAGATGACGAAGCAACTGGCAAATGCTCAGCGAACAGCAGGCTCTCGAACAGCGGCTACCACGTACTAACAGGCGTCAAGCTCAGCACGCATGCCGTGGCTTTCCCCAGGAAAGGGCTGGCGAGGGCTGCCGCAGGACCCAGGGTATTCGCTCTTCCCCTCTCGTAGGACAGACCCCCAACACCTTCTCCAGCTCCTCTCCCCACCCTCTTCCCTCTGGCACCCTACCACCTGCTCCTCCAGCCAGGGACCCACCCAGGGCCAGCCATTTCTTCCCCTTGAGCCCTAGGACCAGTGGCAGCCCCCTGCCCCTGCTACTCCACAGGCTCGCCTCCTCTGGCCCAGTCTCAGGAGGAGGATGGGGTAACTGAGGCATCTCCTCTGGGCTGAGCCTACCTGTAGTTCCTGCTGCCCTGGGAGCTGTGGCTGTAGCTCCACACTCTGCCTCGCCTGTGCCCACCAGTGCCCTCCCAGCACACCCCCAGCGCCCCAAGTGCTCCACTCACAGTTCGAGGATGAGCACCACGTCGGTGCGGTTCTCGTAGACGTCGTGCAGCGTGATGACGTTGGGGTGCAGCACCTGCCGCAGGATGCTCACCTCCCGCTCGATCTCCTCCCGCTCCACGCCCCGCCGGCTGGCCCGGCTCTGCCTCTTCTTGATGAACTTGGCCGCGTACTCAAGTCCCGTGCTCTTCTCCCGGCACTTCTTCACAATGGCGAACTGGCCACTAGGGGACAGGGAGCCACACAATCAGGAAGTCATCATGGCCATTGGGAAAGTGACCCTATTGTCAGTTACCAGCCCGTGCTAATTCAGAGTCACACCTGCCCCTCCCCCGGGTGACAAACAGTGTCTGAGATGAGGCAGGTCCTGGGTACCACTTCCCATCATGGCTTCTGTTGTTGTTGCTAAGGGAGGTGGTGGGTGTCAGCCAGAGAGAGGCAGACAGAGAGAAATAAAGCAAGAATCACTGCCCGGGGGGATGGCCATGTCACATTCCCGTCTCCTCCATTACCCCCCCTTGGGTTTCTGGGCACACACACGTACTCCCCATGTGCTCCTCATGCCACTGAGTCCGGCACTCAAACCATGCAGTTGGCCATGTGGGATCCAGGCCTCAATCACCATGCCACCTGCCGGCCCCCAAACTTCTTTGCTGTTTACTAGGAATGGATGTTAGTGTTGGAATTCCCAGTGCACAGAGGCGAACACAGGCCCTGAAAGGTTACTGACGTGTTCTGGATGACACGGCCTCGTCACTTTGTGCAAAGACCCAGCAAGAGCCAAGTCTAGTATCCACCAGGGAAAGCCGCAGTGTCCATAGACAGACTGGGCTGGTGGGGTCCTGGTCTGCGCGGAGGCAGCCTAGCCAGCTTAGTACAACAGAGATCATCACAGCGGGAGGCTGGCGTGGCCACAGAGCTGTTCAGTTAGGACAATGGGCATGAGGAGAAGGCAGGTGACTCGCCTCCACGCCAGACACCGGTTCTCCAAGGGAGCTGTGGGAGTCAAGATCCTAGTTCCCTGCAAGGGCTAGAACCCAAGGCTGGGCCTGCAAATCCCTCGCTCCAGGGACCAAGGCAGCCACCATGCAGTGGGATCCACGTCTGAGGGGCAGTCCTGGCCAGCTTCCAGAATGCTCCGAGGGTAACCCATCCCACAACCTCTGGCCTCATCATCTCAGCTTGGATGACGGGCAGGAGCAGATCTACATCCTGGAGGCTTCCCGGGGCCATCCCTCTTGGGCTCCTCCCTCCCTTCCCGCCATCTTCTTCCATCGCCCCTCTAGATTTCCAGTGTGGGTACGCAGGAGTGCTGACTCGGCTTAATAAGGGGCTGCCGGGCTCCAGACGCCATACGTTCTCCCTCAGTAGCTCCGGATAAAGGTTACCCCACGAAATGCTCAGTAGCTGCCCCAGTCTCAGAAACTAGCATCGCCTCTGGGCCACTCTGTTATTAGAACAGTCCCCGAGACCGTCCTCCAAACAGCTTGAGCGACAGCAGTGGAAAGTCACGTCGGGCAGGCCAGCCACGGCTATGCCAACACTTAAATGGCTTTCCACGGCGACTCCTTTGGGGATGTCACGGGGTCTCTCCATGCCCTCACCCTCCAGAACCTGCACGTGGCAGAACCTGCACGGACACGGGTATGGGGGAGCTCTGGGGGAGGGAGAGGCCCCTGGAGGCTGAGCTCGGCAGGGAAGGCTTTGTGGAGCCACATGCATATCGGACTGTCCACTACCTCCCAAGTTTCAGCCAGGCAGACCCCAGTTACGGGCTCTGAGCTGTCCACTCTCCAGGGGCTGCCGCAGGTGAGGTGAAGCCAGGCCGCCCAATGCCAGAGTTTAAAGTCGAGCACAGGCAGTCACTAAGAGCCACTTTAGGCCTCAGGGACATTGGGTCCCCAGGTTGGTGCCAGCAAATATTTGACAACACTTCTGGCCCCAGGCAGCTGTGAGTCTCGGCCACAGGGTGGCCACAGTCCTCTCATCTCTCTCTGGCACCTCAGTAGGCACGGGCAGAGCCTGGCGTTTCAGAGCTCCCACTGCCTTTTATTAAAAGAGGTTCTTTTACTGTAGGGCGTGTGTGCTCTCCAGAAAGACAGAGAGAGAGACAGAGAGACAGAATGCGAGAAATCACTCCCTGGGGGGATGGCCACGCCGCAATCCCTTCTCCTCCATTCTCCTCTTGGGATCTTGGGCATGCACACACGTGCCCCCGGCACAAGTTTAAGCCACCGGGTCCGGGACTTGAACCGCGTCGCCTACATGGGAGTTCAGCAACATAGCCATCAGGCCAACTGCTGGCCCCTCCCACTGCCTTTGGAAAGCAGCCCTGAATCTCCACTGGACTGCTGGGGCAGGCAAAGCTTTTGGATTGATTGCGATGTGTTGAAGGGTACAGAACCCACGGGGGCTGCAGAGTTTGGTTTGAAACCCCCATCCCCCAGCCTCAGCCCCGCGCTGTGCTGACTGGGCAGACCTGGGGAGAGGCGGAGCTCAATGTCTCAGGTCACCTTGACACAGGTTCCCTTTCTCATGTTCCTCCTCACCTGCCTGCAAAATTCCTCGGATGCTCAGAGAGAAATGTGTGCTTACTTCTCCTGCCCAAGGTTTCTCTCTGGAGAAACAGCGGTAGCAGGAGAGGTGGCCAAGGACAGGCCCACTGTGCAGGCATCTCCCCACAGAGGGAGTCCTGAGAGTGGGTGACCAGGACGAAGCAGGCAATACCACTCAACTCGCCTCTCTTCACTCAATGGAACCCCTTCAGGGAAAGCCGAGGCTGCTGCTTGCTCCATGCTTTCCCCTTGGGCTGTCACCAGGAGTGGAAAATACCCTCCCAAGGGTCGACCCCCAGGCTACAAGGCTTTGGGCAGGAGAGCAGGCTCCTTGGACAGGCAGGCCCAGACTTAGGGACTTACAGGATATCACTTGGGGCAAGTTGCTATCTGCCCTGGGGATCAGTTTCCTTATCTGTAGAACGGGGACCCTGATTCTGAGCTAGAGAATGGGGAAGTCAGAAGCACCTACAATGGCGGCCCACAGTCAGTGCTAATGCACAGCGCACATGCAGGCCGAGCAAAGGGCCTCAGAGACTGAGGCACTGATTCAAACGGTCTGGAAGATGTAGCGGGGATCAGCTTAATACTAACCCCACTGGTGACTCCCGTGACAGTTAGAGGTGGGGATACCTCCATTCTAAGTAGTTAGCTGGCTCCTTCAATCCCAGGGTGGTAGTTCTCGACCTGGCTACGCACTGGCATCATCTGGAAGCCTTCACAGCTCCTGGTGTCTGGGTCTCACGCAGAGGTTCAGCTCTCCTGCGTGCGGGCTGCAGCCTGGGGATGGGATATCTGAAAGCCCACCGGGTGACTGATGCACAGGCAGGCTGACAGTCACCAGCTGGTGACAGCTCTCTGCTGACCTCCATGATCTCCAGAAGCCGCGGTGCATCCTGTCACTCCCACACTCTGTCGTCAGGGCTGCTCCCACACAGACCTCTGATCTGGCCATTAAGGGGGTCACGGGGGAGTGTCCTCTCTCCCAAGAGCACAGTTTTTGCTTAAGGGGGGTTAGCAATCTCGCTGTAGATTAGGACACTCCAGGCTTTGGGGTAACGGGGAGTTTGCAGTCAAGCACCTCCTCCCCAATACTGCATACAGAGAAGCACAAAAGCGGAACGGGAAGTGACTCTAGCGTGCCTGCCCAAGGACACCAGTGGACATGACGGCAGGTGACGGCGGGGATGGTGACAGGCCTCTGCTCACCAGGAACGCTCCGAGTCAGAAGCTGAGCACCTACAACGCAGAAGCCACCCAGCCAGACCGCAGGAGCATAGGGCGGGTGGCGAGGGCCTCTCTGGGTTAGAGCAAAGCCATCAGAGAATCCCAGGCCACCCACAGACAAAGGAAGAGGGGGGAACTAGCTGACCTCTGATGGAGATCACTGCCATTGCTAATTCGAATGTTCCAGGAACTGGACTGATACACCTAGGCAAGGCAGTGCGCTCTGGCTTCCCCCACGATGGGTCGACGCCTAGTCCGCGGTCTAATGGGGCAAGGGGATGGCGATCGGGGGCCTGATGCCGGTTCCTGGCTGCCATCAGAGCTCAGAGCTTTGCAGGCTTGGACAAGGAGCTGCCCTTCAGCTAACATTTCTTGCCGCCACCTGAGAGCTGCTGGTTGGAAATCCCCAAAGCAGCAACTCTAAACAGGAAGGAGTGCTTCTCCTTCACTCTCCAAATTGCTTCTCTGGGCTGGGGTCAAGAGATGCAGGCCATTGCTAGAGTCCTATAACCTGCCACAACTCTGGGGCCCTGGTCAACTCCTTGGACCTCAGTTTTCCCCCCTGTCAAATGGGGATGCCTAAACCTTCCCTACTACCTTCCAGGGTTGTCTGGGAAACCGTGAGACAATGTCTGAGACAGGACTTTACCATCCAGTGCTGGGTGGGCGGGAACCCTGGGCCCCAGGCTGGCTTGCAAAAGTCACGTAGGAGGCGCTGGGTGGGAGGGAACCCTGTGTCCCAGGCTGGCTTGCAAAAGTCACGTAGGAGGGTTTGGTGAGGGACAGTAAATCCGCGAGACAGGAAACTATCCTCCTCGCTTTTGCCAGCATGCTCTCCTGCAATGACCTCAGGGACACACCTACACAGCTGTCTTCCCAGGGAGGCAGCTCAGCTCCTCACTCACTCAGCACTGGGGACACAGTGGGGCTATGGACAGATCAGTAACACTGGCAGATGGGCCTCGCTCCAGAACGTGGCAGGGTCCAGGGTGACGCCCCACGCGGGCTTGCCTACTGTCTGTCCAAGAGTCACAAGAAAAGGAATATTTTAAACAGCTTCTCAGTGCTCAGAAATGACTCCCGTGCCGGCACCTAAGCTTCATGGAAGAGCCTGGCTCGATCATGCCCCAATTCTTCACTGCCACTAGAGAAGAAGCCAGGCATAACCAGAACGTCACAATGTCACACCATGGCATGCGCACTGTGGCCATGCCAACATTCATATCCAGCTTCTCTCTCTCAAACTAATTTTATATTTATTCCCTCTTTTAACATTCGTAGGCATCATTCTTAGATCCACTCTACAGATTAAAAAAATAAATAAGTAAAAAATAAAAACCCTAGACTTAAAGAAGTTAAATGACTTGGTAGCTGGGCCAGGTGACAGGGACTGAAAGCAGAGTGATGACACAAACCCTGGCTGATGGATTCCAGCTTCAGGG